AGGTACGTACTCTTCTCTCTCTCTCTCTCTCTCTCTCTCTCTCTCTCTCTCTCTCTCTTTCTCTTCAGTAGATTCTACTGGATCGATCCCATCGATCAAAAGCGACCACTCAAAGCTCTCGTTTCTGTTGCCGATCCTGAAATCATCGATCAAGGAAAAGAAGCGTGTTATTAGCGTTTTTCCGGATGCTTGAGCTTGCCAGCTAACTCGCTTTTGCTTTGTTAATTTCGCGTAATACCCTGTAACGAGTTGATGGAAGGCTCGAGATTCTGGCTAACGTTTTTTACGTTTCTCTCTTACAGGAGGAAAATTAGTATGGATTTTGTCGTGGAATTTGACATTTTGTTAAAAGAAAAAGTTGTTGGAATCCGTTGTTGAGATACCGTGGAACTTAGGGAACTATGATTAAAACGGAGGAAATATAGTATTTCTTAAGGCTTGTTCGATAATTGTCCTATGTTCAGTCGCGCAATTAGTTTCCAGTTCCCTGTTAATTGTACCAATGAATCCGTGGTATATTATTATTTACTCGATAAAAACGTATTACAACTCATTATATTATCCATGATCCTTTTCATAATCATCTTAAAAATTGGACATCACGCAATATCCAAAACAAAAGTCTCGATTCGGTCGTCCGATTCTAAATGATCTATATTATGTCTTAAGGGGATACGAATGGAAATTAATAAATCAGCAAATAAGTTGATTCGTGAGCTTGAACGCCAAGAAGGAACTTGACGAGTCATTGAATCGATGGTCTCGACCGGAAATAGCCGAGTGTGTAGGATTACAGTGGGAGGATCTCGCGAGAAAGAGCGTACGTACGTGTGGGATACAGGTGGCGAGGCACGTTCCTCGGGCGAAAAGACACCAGGATATTACGGGCCTCGATGCAAAATAGCGGTGTACACATTACGATTCTTTATGTAACGCGAAAGTGGATACCATTCACGGCATATGTTTCTCCTATTTCATCGGAGAATCGAAAAGGTGTTCTGGTCACGAAACAACGTTCAATGTTCGATTACTCTTATCGAATTACTCGACGCGTAACAAAAGCAAATCTGATAGAATTCCGCGATACAACGGAGGGAATATACACTTACCTTATCTGACATGTCCATGTTACCAAGATCCACCAGATTCAATCGATCGAATGCTTTATAGGAAACAGGATATTATTGATTATCGATCTTGCACCGATGCATTATCTTTAAGCTTTTGGAGGAAATCTTTCTCTTCCAGATAAAATTATTAAATGATAACGGAAGATAATGTTCTTAATGGTTAGAGATAAATGTCTCTGCGGACAGATCGCTCGAGGAAGCGGATCACACCGCTTCGACTTCGATCAACGTCTGGAACCTCTCAGCGGGATTACGAGCGACCCGACGACTCGTTCTCCAGCCGGTAAAATTGTTCAAGTTGAAATACAGCAAACCAACGGCGTGCCAACGGCCGATATTTTTAGTTCTCCTTCCCTCCACCATCTATCTTCAAGTTTGGGTTTCCTGGTCGTTTTAGACGCACTGTCGAGACGGCGTGGTTCTTTCCGAGCCAACGAATAAGTTGTTGGCTATTGCTTAAAATTTTTTAAACGCGTTCTGTAATTCTTTCAAATTCTCCTTGACACTGAAAAGGATTGACGTACTCTTTCGTCCAACTCTTCCAACAATCCACTTCTTCAAAATCGATTCCCCCTTTTTCAGAATCACTCTTATCATCACACACACGAATGCTTTTGCTAATTGAGTTTCTTTCAGTCAGAAATTCTCTCGTCGGTATACTGTTAACGAACAGGAAATGAAAACTCGATCGTGAACAAGCGAAAAGACACCATGCATGCTGGAGCTTCTCGAGCACACGCACGTGGCTCCAAGCCGACTGACGAGATACACGCGCGAGGAAGTATCAACAGAGGCTGAGAGGAGTGGCTACCAAGCGAAGCGGAAGTGGAGGGTGATTCTGCGGGAGCAGACAGTGGTGGGGTAGATCTCTGATAGAGGGTATTCTTGGTGAATCCTTCGTGGACGAAGAAGACCACGCTCGGGGACCACGATATGGATACATGAGTCGCCGAAGATGGAAAAGGGTTACGTTTGACTCTAATAAGGACAACGTTGCATCGTCGTCATCATCCATAAATGATGATGATGAAAGTGATGATTTTTTTTTCAACGTCGAATAAATAAAACGTTGTTTCCAATTCAGGTTAATGTTTTAGAATTACTTGAGAGGAAAGATCGAAAGGTTACGATTGTAAAATGTATTTAAATGTTTCTTTATAGAGCTGTAGACTTAGTCGAAGGATATGGGTCGATCGTTACGTATCTCTCTTATGAAATACAACGATAATACGAGACGAATATAGAAGCATAATGATGTTGCGGTTAAAAATAACTAGAATGATTCATTGACGATTGTAATTTTTAGATAAAAATATAGAAAAGTATACGCGTATGTTTATCGATCGATAATATTCTTTCATATCATTGAACGAAACGATTAATAAACTAATGAACGATTTCTTCTCATCAGGTAATGGGAGGATGTTGTTTGGAAATATCAATTTTACGAAATATCAATCAAGAAGATGACTTTTAACGCAACCACGTAATTCGAAGATCCATTCTTTCAGCAGCGGGATGGGAAAGATAGGCCAGGGTCGTTTGGAAGATTCGGTTTAATGACACACATCGCACCGGTTTCCTAGCAGAGTATCTTTGCGGTTTGGCCACGCCCAAACCTTTCCGAAGATTACACGAAATTACCTGATTTGTAGGTAAAAAAGCCAACCTCGAGGAGAGAGTCTTGTCGGCTGATTTTTATAGCAGAAATAAAGACCATTTTTCTTCTTTGGAGTGGCCTTGATAAAGAACACGAGCATTTTCTTTTATTTTATTTTTTTCGGAAACATCAACACCCGTGATGAAACATCGACCTATAAGGATTGACGGTCACAAAATTATACCATACGCGTTAACTTGAATATATATTTTACTGGTTCTTATCGTTTAATTGAAACAGCACCATGCTCGCTGGAAGAATCGAATGGTTTCAGAATTAATTCCCACGCGAGCAATCGCGAAGCCTGTATCCTTTTAAAGTTAAAGAGACGGTGAATGTCGCAGAACCTAAGGGACATCGGTGTATAAATCAACGTCTCGGTTAATAAGAGCGAGAGAGAAGGAAAGAGGTAGACAACGAAGAGACGCAAACCGCAGACAGGAGAGTCGAGGCTCTCTCCGCTACTTATGCTAATGCCGGCAAATCAATTTATTTATATTTATTTATAGCATTCAAATGTTTTCCCAAGCTGTGTCTTGTTCCGTTGCTGGACCACCCACAAAAGAGAATTGATTCTGTTGCGGATCACGAAATTTCGTAGACTTTTATTTTACGGATGAGATAAAAATCGATATAACTTAATTGCTCAAGATTAAGTATTTTTTAAAATTAATAATAATGAAAAAAATGTATATTGTTTAATAAAAATTTCAGATATAATATTAAAAATTTGAAAATTTTTAAATTTTTGAAAATTTAAACAATTAAAAATTGAAAATTGATATAATATTTTTTATTTTTCCATATTGTATCTACAATAGTTGAGAATAATCAATAACATTTGTCAAATCAAATCAAAGAGTCGTGTTATTGTTCAAGTAACATAATGTGCATTTCAATTAATTGATACATTAATCATTGTTTAACGATGCATTCTTTCATGCCTGGACTTGTAATTATTAAATTAAGTATTTCATTGAATGTCTCACATATCGGGCGCGGTCTCGATTCGAGACTTAGTCATATGATCCGAAAGGAGACGAACCTGTACGAAATACTCAGTAGCGTATAAAATATGATACTTTAACATTAATTTATTTTATTTTTTATTAATGTAATATTTATTATAATTCATGTGTAATATATGTTAAATATTTTGATTAGTTAAAATTTATATGTGTTTATATATATATATAACATATAATTGCGCTAAATTTTTTTTACGTATAATTTTAATTTTTAAATTTTAAAATTTATATCTATGAATTTAAAGCTTAATAAATTTTTTTATTTAAAATTAAATTATTAAATTTTTTTATTTCATATGAAATAGCAAAACTACTGTGACGCGATAAGAGTGAGTTCAGTGGCGTGGTCACTCGTAGGCGTGGGTAGTTGAAGTAATTAAAAGTTACGGTTTGTTGCGAGTGTTAAAGTTCTTATTAAGTGATCTCCAATTTCTAAAAGAATGATTAAGAAAATAAATTTTTCTATTTTATTGGCAGTATTATTCTTTTCTTGTTGCATTCAAGAAGGTAAATATTATTATTTGAAGTTGATCGTTTAGTTTTGTGATCTTAACCTCAAAATTGTCGTGAAACTTAAACATTGAAAATAACTTAATTTATTACACTACAAGAGTAACAATTGTATAAAATATTCAAATATTATTTATAATATTTCATTATAATTAATTATAATAATATAATATATAATTTTATATATATATTTTTTTTAATAGGATATATATATATATAAAATAATGAAAATATAGAAATATTTTATTATATGAAATAAATTTATCATTGTAAACAAAAATTAATTTAATTAATTCTATATATTCTTATAGGATTATCTATCAAATGCTGGGTATGCAGATCTGATTCAGATCCAAAATGTGCAGATCCATTTGATAATACTACTGTGCCTATAACTGATTGCAAACAAGAACCCGATTTAGAACATTTGCCAGGTGTGAGACCTACTATGTGTCGTAAAATTCGTCAAAAAGGTATGTTAATAATTTTACGTAATAAAGTAAACGTTGAAATAATTTTTATAAGTTAAATTATATTTTTATTCTCAGTTAATGGTGTATGGAGATATTTTCGTAGTTGTGCTTACATGGGAGAACCAGGAATTGGTGGCGATGAAAGATTTTGCCTTATGAGAACAGGAACATATAATATATTCATGGAATATTGTACATGTAACAGTAAGGATGGCTGCAATACAGCTTCATATAATCATGGAAGCATATTTGTTTCTATCATAGTTTTAGCAATTTCATTAAGACATGTACTTGTTTATACTTAATATTTTTGACCAAAGATTACATATAGATTTAATTAGAGTATATGTATTTGAACATATTTTTTTTTTATAACAAACATTCTTAATTTGTACTTACTAATGACATTCTTCTCGACAATCATACAATCTTTAGAAAAATATCATATATATCATTTCAAGCTAAATTGAAAGAATTACTCAAACATTATATAATATCTTATATAATCAAGTAGCGTTTTATAAACATTTGTGCCTTACGAGAGAGATAATAATGAACAAAATATTCTAAGGTAATTTTTAGATATCTTTTTATCTTTTCTCAGAGTATTGTAATATTTTATAGAAATATATTTTTATTAATATAATATACATTTTAATATAAAAATATATGTTTGTATTATATTTATATTTTAGATTTTCTTAGTACAAAGAACGAATATTATACTAATCAAGTATATTGAATTTATATTAACATTTAGCATACGTAGCAATATAAATAAGACTGTAAATTCCGTCCATTATTAAATCATTTAGTACTAGTATAAAACAATTGTGCTTTTGTATTTTTGTATCCATTTTCTGGTTAATTATTAAATGTCACAAAAATAAAATCATTGCTCGCATAATGCATCATTCCTTATACATTTTGTACATGTGTATGATAAAAAGAAATAAATAAAGATACATGGAAAATATTATGTGTAAGAAAATAAAAATCCTTTATATAACAGATGTATTAAAATATATTTTTGTTATACAGAAACGTTATTATATTGTACATACAAATTTTTTGGTGTGATTTTATATTGATCCTAACAATAGATTTGTTGAATTATATAATTAATTTTTGTTACAAAATACATATACAATTAATTACAATAATATAAATAGTTCTTAATAAATGTTACTTTAATATTTTTAATTATTTACGATATAATATAATCAAAAAAACGAAAAGATGAGCAAATATATATTGTTATTATTATTGAAAGAAACATCGAGTATCATTATAATATAAAATACTTTATTTTACACATGACGGAAAAAATACTTTCCATTGATTTAATGATCTATCTTATAAATGTTAATATAAAATTGAAAATCAATTTAATAATAGTAAATAGAACAAAAGCGCTTCGTTATATCTGCATTATATCGTAACTTACTTAACAGCTAAAAATTACTTGGTCGCGATCTGGCACAAAAATTTACTTTCTTCTTTCAGAGATAACTTCTAACTCGAACTCTCTAATAACCTGGAATTTTATTTCAGCCTAAGGATTCTAGTTTTATCTATTCAAAACTGGCAGATACTAATTTATTGGACGGTTCTATTATTTTGATTCTTGGCAGAAATTTTTGCGATTTCTCTGCCTTGGAATCGAGGACGGTTGAATAAAAGAATTAATACATTATGTATACATAAATGCGTATTATACAATAAAACAGATGCGTAATTCTTGTACAACTTGTCTTCCATTAAAAAATCACAAGAAGAAGAAACAGGTAAAAGAATGAAAAACTAAGCAAAAATAAATTTCACGAGAAATAGCTTATATAATATATACCTTTCGTATCCACAGATGTTTGCCTAAGTATTCTTTGGAACGGCATTATCGACCATGTGCTCAAATATTCATAATATTCGCACAGGTTGAAAGTAGGTTTATGGTCGAAGGAAAACTATGAGTAAAAGTCAAGCCAAGAATGCTCGATAAGTTTATCGATCTATTTTCTCTCATTCTCATTCGAATGACTGCCATTTCGTTATTTGTTGTCCTGATTTCGCTAAAGCCTGTTTCCACTGTTCACCGTAAGTTCCTCCTACATCTGGTCCGATCACAAAATGGCCAACAGTTGTTTTCTTTCCTAAAATGATACGTTCAAGATTATAAGTAAACAATTCATAAAATTTTTGCAATAGAATTCCACCAGGATGGTTCACCTAGTTTATTCTTCGAAACGAATTTAACAACGAAGCTAACATCCTTCAATGCTCCCTGATACGGATTATCCGCAATCACTCTCGCCATTTCGGGGGCGAATTTCATCGACACACATGGCGCAAAACGATCACTTTTCCAAAAATGAGTCACTCTACCGTCATCTACCACGGACATCTTAATATACATCTGTCCTTTCAAAGCTTCATGCTCGTGCATCGTTTGTAACGAGCATCTCAGACGATGCAGAGACAGTATTAGTTTTTCGCTACCCTCCTCTTTCTTATCGGCCTTCTCTTGGCACAGTGACAACTCGACTTGGCCTTTCTTATTTTCCTTCTGTAACAACAATAAAGATAACTAAAACGATTAACTATGGCCAACGGATTACATATTAACATATTACATATTATAATTTATAATATCTAATTAAATAAAAATTATATGATATTTTAAAATTTCTGATAATTTACTCTTTCTTCAGCTCCAGAAATACCACTAGCAATCGGTCGCAATGGTCTCCACATATCTCCTGTCGACATGTCGCTTGAATGCTTAGCTTTGGGTGGTTTCAAAGTGAAGTTCTTCGGATCCAAAGAAATCGTTGTGGCACCTACGGTTCGCCTCTTATCAAACAATTTTCTTTCTGGAATTGTGGTTTCCACGGATTTATCGGTTCCCTTGCCGAAAAATTGACTGAGTAACTTGTTCTTCGTTGGCTCCTGATTCTCCGTAGAAGCACCTTGACCATCTTTTTTCTTGTTACTCTTCTTAGGAGATTCTTTAGTGGGTGATGTTTTCTCTTTCTCAGATTCCTTCTTCTCAGTCGCTATTAATGGTTTATCCTCGAGAATCGCGTATAGAGTCGCCACGATAAATCTGGAACCGCTTATCTCCTCTTCGATCACTTTCGTTTTACCAAATTTCTGTTTTATTCTTTTCGCAAGTGAAACGTGAATTCCTCGTTCCATTGCGGCCACGACTCGTTTTTCGACGTTGTCTCGAACTTTTCCTTTCCTGGTATTAACTTCACCTGGAATAGAAACGATTTACTTTCCTTTCTGCACAAGTTTTTCTGTTATATATAAAGAGTTGTGAAGTGAGCAATAATTAATCTAATAATAAAAAATTATATAATTTGTCAGAATTATTCATACAAATTTTATCAATATAATATTGATTCGTAAATGATTCGCATGGAATTTTAGTTTTTATCTATTATTTATAAATCTCGCATAATCATCTACTTTGAAATTCCTCTCGAATCAATTAATAAATTCAAACATTAGAAACACCAAGTATATAAATGCATGAAAATAATCTCAACTTGACCATTGTAATTAATATATTTTAAATGCATTGTAAAGAGATAAGGAAACTCAGATTCCCATAAAGTAGTATTGTCTTGTAAGATTCGTGAGTCAATAAAGACAAAGTGGGCGCAGAACGCGATGATTCCTTCGAGTTACATAATGCTAGATAGCAATTCAGAGAGATTATAGTATCTAGCCCATGATACCTTGACTACGTAGCTGTTGACACGAGTAAAGCCGAAATTCTGCGGTAAGTGACGAGCACCAAGTATCGTCACATGCAGAGCTTTCTCGTTGATCGAATGAACGATTTTAATGCCTACTTCCGGCTCCAGATTCACCGTGCGATCCAACGGAGTGGACACAGTCTTGAAACCAGTGTCTATGAAACTCTTGATCCTCGCTAATGCCATGATTGCTTTTAATTCGTGGATATTCCCGATCAATTCTTATCTACTTATCGATCTTGAGCAGTGATAAATTCATCGACAGCGATTCTGGACTGGTATTCGCTGTAAACATAAAAAACGTCTCGTCTAAATTTTGTATAACCTCTACACTATTTCTAGATCTACTATTAATACGTGCAAGCTATAGTTACACAGTTTGCCTATTAAAAGATATATTTTCAGGTTAAATAGTATATCTGATCCGCATGAAAATCCCGTCCGAAATATTTCCTACTCGTTATGTACCGTGTTTAATCGATAAATACGATAAGTCAGTACAAATTTTTCCACTCGTGTCGCGACTATTAACACGAAACTCGCGTTAATAATCGAACTCGTGCCGGTGTTTACCGCGCCTCAGTGCAACGCTCTTTCGCGGCTATAGAGTGATAAGAACAACGGAAACGGTCGAGCTATGATGAACGTCAATGAGTAACGGTAAATTTCAAAGAGACTCTGCGATCGAGACTCTGAACACAACGTTCATGCTCTGTTTTCTTAACGATCTTGATTATTCTTTATTAGCGAACAAATTTGATGATAACGGCAGGTGATTGTATCAGCTGTTCCATCAACAGTATATAATCTTCTCGGATAAAGAAAAAATTCGCACAAATATGTCTATCTAATGATCGAACTTTCTCCAGCCAAGGAAAATTGATCAAGTTACCGGGCGTTGTCACCTGTTCGTTCCCAAGAAAAACCCGCTTGGAAACAGCGTACCTACCATAACCGCAATGATTTTGACCGGGTATGCGGTGTGGATCGAGGAAAAAATGGTCGACTGGCCAATTTTGATCTTTGTTGAAGCACTGATGGGTAATATTCACTAATAATCGAGTTTATGGTAAATATCCACTATAAAACGTTTGATCACTGTTTCCATGACCACAAAGATGAACGTAAACATATAGCGAGATAAAGATTGCGTCTTTCACTGGTTATACATGATGTCGCCATGCGGCTCGATCGCGATCTCCTTGAGTTTACTGCGCATCGCGTTTTAAGATGGAACGATGTGATTGTATATTGTAGAAATTTTTCGTTGAAACGTAGATAAACATGCGTTTATTTAGAATCGAAAGATTTTTATACGCAGAATCGTCAACTTCAAACTTCGAACGACGCGCTACCGTGGTATGCGGCCCGCGCTCTTGCGTGGGTTCCCTTTATAAGGGGGCAAACGGGCTGTGCAGGGACGAGTATAATGAAGGCGTTGTTTAAGGGGCACCGATGATGTGATGAGAGTTTTGATTTCATAAAACATTAATTTTGATGGAAAATTGATTTAAATTATGAATGAAAGAGTTTTTAAGTTGATAATATAATATATAAAATATAAAAATTGATAGAACAGATTTATAATTTTGGTATATCATTATTTACAATATAACATATTGATATTAATTCCTTTACTTTTTTAAAATTGTGTTTAACATTATAATTCAATTTCAAGTAATTTTTATTATAAATTTCATTTTAAAAATATTTATAATATTATATATGTTATACAATGTATAATATAATTGATATATAATAAAAAAAAATGAATTTGTTAATTGGTTACAAGCATTTGTCATTTTTACATCAAAATGAAATTTAATACTCATTTTTATTTCAGATTTGGAATTATTTTTGGTTAATTTTATAAGTATTATTTATAAGCATTAATTGTTTTAGAAAAATTTAGAACAGGATAAGGTTTGTAAAAATAAAAGTACGTCACTGTCGCAAAAACTGGCCAGTCGTTCTGAAGTAGAGATACACACCACTTGTACACTTCATCGTACAATCTTTATAGACTCTAGTTGGTTCCTGACGCTTGTTGCGCACACAAGGTCGCGCATTCATGGCATGTAAATGTGTGTGACTATGTTTCTGCACGTATACGAGATGTATGCGTAGTAACTACGATATAGTGAATGAGAATGTGTAAATACAGTGACGTATTAATGTCAATCGTCGCCCAACTTTTTCTAATATTTACAAATATAAT